AATTTTTGCCTAATAACCAAAATAAACTATCATTTTTTGCCGAATAACCAAAATAAACTATCAATTTTTGCCAAATAACCAAAATTATCTTTTTTTCTGCAAAATAACCTGAATTATTTGGCAGCCTGATCATAGTAATCTGACAGATAATAATTTTTATTGTAGCTATAGTAATTAATTAAGTATAATATTTTTATAAATAGATCAATTTAATTGATTTATCATTTGATCATGACAATGAATATAAATATATTTGCCACATTAAAGATTATTTTAACTATTTCTTATAGGCAAAATTATTAACATCTAAACAAACTATAGAATTCATAGTTTATTTATTTGATTTATTTATTTCTTTGGGTTTACCTCTAGCTATATTACAATCTGATAATGGTAATAAATTTGTTGAGCAGATATTTAAAGATCTTATGAAGTTATGGCCATCTGTACAAATAATAAATAGATAGTCAAACTATTTGCAATCTCAAAGTTTAGTAGAGTAGGCTAATAGAATCCTTTAGCAAAAACTGAGCAAATAGAAAAAGATACTGAATAAAACAATTGGTCATTTGAGTACTGGTTCATTATAATATCTATAAATAATAGTTATTGCCATTCTCACTAAAAAATCCTATATGAACTTGTGTATAGAGATAAAGCTTGTGAAAATAATATCTTAATTAATGAATTATTTTTTAAAAATATCTTCAATGAAGAAAATATACCTAATACAATAAAAGTACAAAGTGTCAATATTAAATATTTGAATAATGACTTTGAAAAAATATATATATATTTAATCTTGAGTATATTATATAAGGGAGATAGAGTATTGTAGCCAGGAGTATTGTGACCAAGTAGCATATCTCATAATCTAGTGATACTATTTGATTCATCCATTAAGATGAATTGAATAGTATAAAAATCATCCAATTTTGATCACTAGATCACAAGATATCATCATTTATACAAAATATAAATTTTCGTGTATATTTGAATTTATTATTAAATATATATAGAATCTTTAACTGTTAATAACTTTTGATCTACTGGTCTGTTTTGGATGATTTTACCACCAACATGACTGTCTCAATAAGATGATAATAACAAGCATAAAATTGTTAAAATCCAATCATAGGGTCCTGAGATCAATATCGATTTATCTTATTTCAAAAATTATATTAGTAAATATGCAAATTTTTATATATAAATCTTTAATGATCTTGGGATCCATAATTGGATTTTAATAATTTTGTGCTTGTAAGAATCATCTCTCTGCAATAGTCATTTTGGTAGTAAAATTATTCAAAACAGACCAGTAGATCAAAAGTTATTCACTATCAAATAAGTGGCCATAATATCCCCTCTTCTCTAAAATTTAGTTTTTATATTCTATTTATATACTAATTATTTATATCTAAAAACATATATGATATAATGATTTTTTTACAATATTTTATTATTTATAAAGCATAGTTCAAATAATAATAATTGTATAAAAATCTATATGTTTATTAAAAAGTTTTATTAGTAAAAATTTTAACCTAGCCACAATACCTCCACCTTCCTTATAATATTTTTTTTATATATTATATTCTTTATAGTTGCTAATGATGTTAATCCTATTGAAAATAACATTCCTAATAATATTAATAATATTAAAAATATTTCTAATAGCATTGCTATTCAACTTTTGAATATTACTAATATTTTTCTTGAATATGAAAAAATTTCTGAACATAAAATTCTTCATCAGTTGGCATATTAAAGTCTTAAAACATATATTCAAAAATGCTTAATTAAATGTTCAAAGAGAAAAAGAATATTAGA